TACGGAGCGGACTTCCTCCCTAAAGCGTATGAATGTCAGACGTCAAGATGAAGACCTCTGTCAGAGGAGTCTGTTTCCTCTGAATCTGAGCGAGTGTTTGGATCACAATTAATCACTTTTTGTCTTGACATTTACTGAACTGATGATTGCTGTCTGTTATGGACCATGTAGAAATATAATGGATTAATGGCCTGTGCTAAACTCATTATCTGGATAGCATTCGTAAGACAAATGCCTAAATGTTTCCTGACTTTGAACATACCTAAAATATTTCCTTCCTCCATACTTCCTTTAATGAAATTAATAATCCTGAGGTAAATAATGCAGAGGCGCAGCAAAGATATAAAGCAATAAAATAGTATAAAGCTGATAATAAGCCACTCCAACAAGTAAACACAGGTATCTGTCAATCTCAAGGAATGGCATTTGGAGAAAAAAATAATAATATTACTGCAGAAAGCAGAAAACGAGCTGTACATGCAGATATTTTGCAAAGGATCAGCTTAGACATTGATTTTATGTATAAATGCCTGCAAGTGCATTGTTCTTTTCACAGGGTTCAGATATTTGAACGTTACAACCTTTCCAATATGAGGTTTTGAACTATATCTGGATGTCTCAGTTTTTTAACCATATGTGTTTACTCCATGTAGATATGCTCAGGGAAAAATACATATTTATTAAAGACTGGATAAGGCATGACACATGATTGACGTACAGGTGTGATCTATAGCTGAGGATGAGCAGGTAGAACTACATATGGAGACTGATATGTCTTCTTAAAGAGATACTTCACCCATAAATGACAATTTTGTTGTCATTTACTCTTGTCAGTGTAATAACTCTAAAAATATAATATTTTCAAGCTATATGGTAGCTTTGTGTGAGGAACCGACCTACATTTATGGTTTGGCATTATTTGTCACTGGTGTTTTGATACCATTTGTGAATATAAGTGAATGTACAATGATAAAAATCCATTCACTCCTTTTTTTAATCCCCCCCAAACCTAAACAGTCTCAATTATCAAGGCGTTTCGATTTTCTGAGCAGTATGACGTCATACTGCTCAGGCCCCGCCCACGACCGCTGACAGACTGTCCCGTATTAGCATATTTCCGCCCTCAGCCAGTTGTACGCTGTTTTCTCCCAGCTCGAGCAGCTGTAGCGACAACAATGTCTCATAAGCAATGCAGATGTTTTGTAGTTGGATGTAAAAGTGCACATAAGAGTCTTCATTTTCTCCTGACATCAGAGCCACTGAGGATGCAGTGAATTCGTTTTTTTGTTTTTGATGGTAATGCGCCACAGAATACACAAACAATGGAAGAGAGGGGGAGGGTGAGCAGTAGGTCATTATCATTTAAAGAGACATGCACCGAAACGGCTCGCTGTGAACAGAGCTGTTTTTGACAAGGTAAAAAGGGTGTCGTTTTACACGATCATTGAGGAATTTTATGTTGCAGATGCAGACATTTCATGAAGACCCAAAAGAATCATACCATCCAATGGGCATCCAATGTCCCCTTTAAGTAGTTTTAAGCAAAATATTTATATAATATAGGTCAGTTTATCACACACAGCTATTGCAGGGCTTCAGATAACATGGCATGTAGTGCACGAGTCGTATGGACATCTTTTATTGTCCATTTTTTGGTTGTTTTGGGAAGTTGATTATTCCATTATAATTGTATGAAAAAGAGCAGCCAGGACATTCTGATAAACTTCTCCTTTAGTGTTCCGTGAAAGGTTTTATGGCATTCGTAACTACATATTAGTGGCTATTTCATGTCTTATCTTATTTGTAGGATTACATTTCTGTATGAATCACATCATAAGAATTCATAGAATTGCTACCTTGTAAAATATTTAAGTTTTCACATGACATTGGGTTATAAAGTCATACAGGTTTGGAATGACACGAGGGTGAGTGAATAATGACAGAGCTTTCATTTTTGGGTGAACTATCCTTTTAACTGTGCATTACCAGCGACAAATTTGAGCAGCTCATAATCAGATTTGACTAATTTCAACAATAAGCTGTGGTATATGAGAAAACATGTTAACATCATTGCATAGATACATATGCTCCATTTAGCACAATTAAGGTAAAGTGTAATTGCAAAGCAGATTGACGTTTTTTTTCAATTGCGTAGGAACAGCTGGTGTTTAATAACAGACGAAGAAGAGTATCTCCCATAAATGAAGCCTTTAGAAATGTTAATATGATGAAGGTTCATGTCCAGCAAATCTAAAAACATAAGTTCAAAGATTAATGACTGTATGCAGTAATACTGCATGGATTTTAGTAAGACTACATGTTCAGGCATATTGTATATGCAGGCCATGTGTGCAATATATGCCTGAGTGATTTGTATGTTGATTATATCAAGGTCATATGTTATCACAGACAAGTGGTAATCATATGCCTGCAAACGAGTGTTTCTCTGTTCGCTCATGATTAACGTTCCATCCATAGAGGACATTAAGGACAAGGAGGGAAAAAATAACTTTATTTGAGATGAAACATGTGCTATAACCAAATATTTCAATTTTAATCATATTAAATAAAAAACAACAAAAGAAAAACATTTAGTGACAACAACGGCTTATAACAGAAATGCAAGATTAATTTTGCATAGTATTAAATCTACTACTTTTAATGAGTTTAGAAGAAAAGATAAATGGCAAAGACAAGAGATTACATTCAAATGAATTAAACAAGAAAACAAATAATTAACGGCTCCTCCAAGCTTGTCCAAATCATTTTATACTAATACTACTCTTGATAAAAGTCATATTAATCAGCATACTCCAAAAAGACCAATATGGTTAGGGGGAAAAAAACTAACATTTTTTGCCATCATGTTGCTTGCTTTCCACCACCGTCGCTTTCTGAGAGCTAATTTGCGATTCGCTGTTAAGCGGTTCTGACAGGACAGCTTACACTTATTGCGGGTGTTGGCATTCAAGCTGTAATAGTATAAAATTAGGTCTTTAAAACTCACTTCACATCAAATTCGTAGACATTAAAAGGGTCTGCGCTCCAAAAACCAGTGAAAATAGCATGATTTTCATTTTCTTGATGATTTTCATGTCAGTTTCTAGTCCATTGGCCCCCTGCTTATAAATGTCCCCAATTTCACTGGCTGCTGTTGGAGGTTTTGCAGCATGATAAGTAAATCAATATCCACCATGACTACACATACAAAGAAAGGGTTGAAGGAAACACAGGCTCATTTTGGAAAAGCAGAATTGTGGGAAATATCAAACGTGCCTTTTCGCGATATGCTGTGGCTTTGCAGTGATCCTTCCCTGTCACCTCCATATGGGCTTGATAGGTCGATATCTCCCCCTCAGCCCTTTTCTTGTGCGTCTTTGACGTATTACTCACCTCCTGCGGTAGACGTGTCATTCTCAGTTACTCAGTGATCTCTCATACTGCCAAGTGACAGATAATATGACTTATGGGTGCATAGTACAGAATTTGTGTTAGAAGTAGGTCTCAATTCACATCTAAATCTCAATGGCCTCGGGTTGGTCAGTTTAACTCTGTCTGAGGCACTCGTACTGCTGATGATTGTATAGTGAGTACTTGACCTCAGTATAAATTCCCACTGCTTGCTTTCATCAAACAAGGACTTTTCACCAAAACACCCACATTTATGGGAGCTTGGACAAGGAGAGCCACTAAAATAGATTTAGGTGCAAGAATTTATCATCAGTAGGCCTGTTTTCGTTATTCAAGCATAAGATAAGCATGCACTGCTTTAAGACACATATACATATTCACACTGTAAGACAGGATGAAAGACGTATTTAATGTGAGCACAAGCAAATGGATTACCCAACTTATTTATTAAGTTTAGGATCAGTCAGCAGCTATAGGCAGTGATCACATAAGAGCAATTTAATTGCACATTTTATAATGACAATGAAGCTTTTTACACATTTTTGCTTTATTAATTAGCGACTGGTTGACCACACGCTGTCAAAGCACTATGAAATCCAAAGTCATTGTAAATTCCGCTCAGTTTTGCAGGAGTAACCTACATCTACTATGTCAAACGAGGCCAACATAACAGAGTTTATTACACTCTGCTGTCTGGGATTTTTGATTTTGATTGGTCAGTCTGATTGACCGCTCATCTAGGAAACCTGTTTCCAGTGTATCTGTGCTCATGCCATCTCTACTAGTAAACTAATCAACTCGATAATCATTTCATGTCCATTTACTTATTTATTTAGTGTTGTATTTATTGATTTTTTTAAGCAGTCATGTGATATATGTGCAGTCAGACGGTCATTACCAGGACACAGGATCAAGGAGGCAATTTCGTATGAATTGATGTGAATCGTAGGAAAATGTACGATTTGTACAATGTTAGTTTTTCTACACAATAAGCAACGACGTGAATCTGGAGTTAATTGCTTACACAATGGCTACTGTTGCATTTGTATGGTTTCACCTCTGCACATTTTTCAGGTTTTCATCTCTATAACTTTATAATTTTTTCTTGTTTTGAAACAAGTGAGGAAAATGTCACTTTTTGAACTAGGAACCAAGGCTTGGGCTGTTTCTAATCAGTTATTGGAGTAACCAAGGTTGGGTGTTTGTGACAGAAAAAGCGCGAGGGAGGGAGAGCGCGTGTAATTATCTGCGTCTGCTGCGGCTCTCGGCAATGTTAATAGGCAGCAGCATAATTACAAACAGCGAGGCTATTAGATTAATTAGTTAAGACCAAATCGAAATAATTTGTCATTTTGATCTTGTTTTCTGTCATTTATTTGATTGGCGGTGTCTTTGTTTTGCTTCCTTTGTGCTATGCTGAAGAAAAAAACAACAACCCTGAAATAATAATATGTGACTGTAATGAACTGGAACTGCTTCAAATCCGTGCAGGTGTAAGAACAACAATCAGCACCTGTCAACCAATCAGAATCAAGCATTCAACAGCGCAGCGATATCACTTGCGATAATGACCGACTGACTGCATGACCATTATCCTAGTATTATTGATCTATTTTACTATCGTCTGCAACATCTAAAGCTTATGAGTTTGTGAAAAGCTTTTTTAAAGTCATCATTCGACATGGTGTATATTATTGGATTGATCAGTGAGTTGACATAGCCGAGCCAATTGAAAAAGTCAAAGAGTTCTGCGGAAAAGCAGGATGGACAGAGGGGAACCAGCAGTGTGTAAATGAAAAACGGCAACCAGCACACAATATAGGCTCCTAAAATAACGCCCAGGGTTTTGGTGGCTTTCCTCTCTCGCGCAGCCGAGATTCTCTTTTTCTCCAGAAGTGAATCGGACACAGTTACTCTAATTTGATTGTCACTGCCCAGAGACCCGCTGTCCGAGTAAAGCTCTTGCCTTCCACAATGCAAAGGAGAAGTCGAAGCCACCGAAGCGGGGGAATTCGTGCTCAGATGTGCCGAAGTGAGTCTTTTCCCCGCTTTTTTGGGCGACTGCTTCAAAATGCGCTTCCTCGCCTCCACGTAAATCCGCCCGTACAGGGCGATGAGCAGCAGCGTAGGGATGTAGAAAGCTCCGAAAGTGGAGTAGATGGTGTAGAAGATGTGGTCCGTGTTGACCGAGCAGGTGGTGAGCTCCCCTGCCTTCACCTGCCGCCAGAAGAAAGGTGGCAGGGAGATGGAGATGGCGATGATCCAGGCGGTCGCCACCATCCCCGCGGCGCGCGCTTGGGTGCGTTTCTTGGCATACTCGACCGCGTCCGTTATAGCCCAGTATCGATCCAAGGCGATTACGCAGAGGTGAAGAATGGACGCGGTGCAACAGGTAATATCTGAGGACAGCCAGATGTCGCAGATAACCTGCCCGAGCGTCCACTCGTGCGTGACCGTGTACAGCACGCAAATGGGCATCACGAGCACCGACACCAGAAGGTCCGTGACGGCCAGGGACGCGATCAAGAAGTTCGCCGGTGTCTGGAGCTTTCTGGACTGGGAAATGGTGGCGATGACAAACGCATTGCTTAATATTGTTGCAAGAGTGATGAGACCGAGAACGGACGCTAAGGTGACTTGGAACGCGAAACTTTCTTGTTTTTCGTCCGTTTTAGGTGTTAAAGTCACATTGGTGCCGGTCGAGCTGTTCAAAACCTCGAAATGGCCAGGTGTTGGTTTGAAATGACCGCTGCGCTCCATCCCAGCAGACCATATGTTTTCATATTTTGAAATTAAAGCAATATTTTCGGCGCTTCATGATTTCTGTCAGCTCCAGCATCAGGTGCAGACAAACGCTCGTGGATGTTTTCGTTCTGTGGTATGCGAAGATATTTTTCTGCTTCATTCTAATTCTCAAACTTCGGTCTCTACGAAAAATAAAAATCAGCTGAGGGCATACCAGTTGCAAAATTGCACAATATAAAGCATCCCAGAAGTTGTGTAAGAACATCCCTGCTCCTCTTCACGTCCACAAACGAGTCATCTTTAAAACGTAGATACTTTGCCCGCAAGCAGCGGCAATTTTTCATAGGTTTCACTGATATGCGGTCGCAGGGTTCCTGCTTTTTATAGGGCTCTGATGCAAAAGTTGCAGCTTTGATAAGCATCATCTTCTAGTTTGAGAGAGGATGCTGTCCTCTGGGTCTTAGTGCCGCCTTACCCTTTTATGCACCTTTTAATTATTTAAAAAATAAACTCACCCTCACGTTGTTCCATACTATTAAACTGTTGTTATTTATTTATTGTTTTTAATTATATTTGCTAAATCTTTACAAAATATAAGTTCCAAATAAGACAACATAAATGTGCCATGTCAATACCGCTCTTGTGCTATATGCAGCCCTATGCTATTATGAATCAATTATAGTGATTTTACAGTTATTATTATATTGATATTACATTGCATATACAGTGGGTACGGAAAGGACCAGAACCCTTCCTAGAGCTGGCTGTCCGGCCAAACTGAGCTATCGGGGGAGAAGAGCCTTGGTGAGAGAGGTAAAGAAGAACCCAAAGATCACTGTGGCTGAGCTCCAGAGATGCAGTCGGGAGATGGGAGAAAGTTGTAGAAAGTCAACCATCACTGCAGCCCTCCACCAGTCGGGGCTTTATGGCAGAGTGGCCCGACGGAAGCCTCTCCTCAGTTCAAGACACATGAAAGCCCGCATGGAGTTTGCTAAAAAACACCTGAAGGACTCCGAGATGGTGAGAAATAAGATTCTCTGGTCTGATGAGACCAAGATAGAACTTTTTGGCCTTAATTCTAAGCGGTATGTGTGGAGAAAACCAGGCACCTGTCCAATACAGTCCCAACAGTGAAGCATGGTGGTGGCAGCATCATGCTGTGGGGGTGTTTTTCAGCTGCAGGGACAGGACGACTGGTTGCAATCGAGGGAAAGATGAATGCGGCCAAGTACAGGGATATCCTGGACGAAAACCTTCTCCAGAGTGCTCAGGACCTCAGACTGGAACTAAGGTTTACCTTCCAACAAGACAATGACCCTAAGCACACAGCTAAAATAACGAAGGAGTGGCTTCACAACAACTCTGTTACTGTTCTTGAATGGCCCAGCCAGATCCCTGACTTAAACCCAATTGAGCATCTCTGGAGAGACCTAAAAATGGCTTTCCACCAACGTTTACCATCCAACCTGACAGAACTGGAGTGGATCTGCAAGAGGGAATGGCAGAGGATCCCCAAATCCATGTGTGAAAAACTTGTTGCATCTTTCCCAAAAAGACTCATGGCTGTATTAGATCAAATGGGTGCTTCTACTAAATACTGAGCATTTTTCAGTTTTTCTTTTTTAATAAATTTGCAAAAATGTCAACAATTCTGTGTTTTTCTGTCAATATGGGGTGCTGTGTGTACATTAATGAGGAAAAAAAATTAACTTAAATGATTTTAGCAAATGGCTGCAATATAACAAAGAGTGAAAAATTTAAGGGGGTCTGAATACTTTCCGTACCCACTGTATAATAGTTAAGGTCATGGTTAATGGAACAGAAGATATTTTGAGAAATGTCTCAGTGTTTTGTCCATACAATTGAAGTTAAAGGTCACCAGAACTGTTTAGTCACCAACATTCTTCAAAATGTTTTGTGTTCAACAGAAGAAAAAAAGTCATACAGGTTTGGAATGACATGGGCGAGTAAGTGAACAATTACGATTTGGTTTAGTGAAGATTCAGATTAGACTCTGTTTAGTGAATCTAAACATAAAGACTGATTTCCTGAATGAATGACTATAATCAGATGTTTTTTGTTTAGTGACTTAAACATATCTCAGTTGAATGTGAGATAATAAATCAGTGTAATTACGGACTAGATGTATAATTAAAGATGCTCTTTGTTGGGGCTTACTCAGTAAAGCCTTAATGCCACCTCTCTAAAAAGAATATGAAAGTGAACAACACGCCTTTGTAAATCCACTTTTTGCAAGAATTGTTTGAATTTACTTATTATTGAAATTATACCATGATTTGGCATTGTAATTCTGTTTCTTTTTTACACAAATATTTATTCTTAACAAGGCCTAATTAATTACTAATGGAACTGTTAAGGAACTGGAATTGTTAAAATGAATCATATGGCCTCAGAAGACTTAGAATAGCGCACATGCCATATGGACCACTTTTATGCATTTACAGTTTTTTTTTAATATTGTGTATATTTTGAAATATACACAGATATATTTCATTTGTGTTTTTTTTTTTTACTGTCATTAAATGTTGAATACTGAGACGGTTATTCAGTGAGATTTTTAAAGATGGTGGATGTTCAGTACAAATCCTAAAGCACAAGTCACGGCTAAAAGCTGCACTCTTTTAAATGAAAATGCAGTGTAACTGAAGGGAATCTTTTTCCTGAAATGCTTCGGCTGACGTTTAATATGTTGCCTTGCTGTAGTCGTGATAAAGATTTCCACTACTCATTCTCTACCTCTGGTTAACATGACTGCATCTGGTTAATGAAACAGAAGATATTTTGAGAAATGTCTCAGTGTTTTGTCCATACAATTGAAGTTAAAGGTCACCAGAACTGTTTAGTTGCCAACATTCTTCAACATTTCTTGTGTTCAACAGAAGAAAAAAAAGTCATACAGGTTTGGAATGACATGGGTGAGTAAGTGAACAATTACAATTTGGTTTAGCGAAGATTCAGATTAGACTCTGTTTAGTGAATCAAAACATAAAGACTAAAGACTGAAAACAAGGCCTAAATAATTACTAATGGAACTGTTAAGGAACTGGAATTGTTAAAATGAATCATATGGCCTCAGAAGACTTAGAATAGCGCACATGCCATACGGACCACTTTTATGCATTTATAGTTTTTTTCCCCCATTTTTTTCAGATGTCTCACTATGAGGTCTTGTATGAAAAAAGAGCAGTGTGAAGATTCTTCAAAAAATCAGCAATCAGGTTTGGAACAGCATGAGAGTGAGTAAACTCTTAACAGAATTATTCTACCCTTAAAGGTTAGGGTTAAAATTCTTAATTGAGATTTTGTTCCACCAGAAGTGGTATTGTGTATGCATTTTTTAAAGCACTTTCTTGAAGTGAAAAAGTGTTTAGTGCTGGCCACTTGAGTGAATGTCTTCAATTTCCTAGATCAATTTATTGATTTTCAAGTAGTTATGTACACCTACGCACATCTTGAGTAAATTATCTTTGACAGAGCAAGTATTAAGTGTGAGGCGAAGTGCTAATCAATTTTTTAAACTGTAGTAAATACGTTTGTGACTTCTCTGATAGTGACTGATAATAAAATCAGCCAAGTAAGGTGTAACTATAAACTATCAAACCAGTCTCTCATCATGTGAGCGACAACTGTCTGTCATCAGAAGTGAATTTTATGGTAGAAGTGAACCTAAACAATTAAGTGACTTTCATTATGCAATCACTGAGTAAGCAGGAATGTATTCTAGTGAATTATAATGTATTGAGTGCTTTTGTCAATACAGTTTCTCCTCCATCCTCGCTGACGCTATTATGTTGTACTAATTTCCTCTCATTTTGTGATTTAATCACGTGACACACACTTTATTCCCACATGAAAAGACTTTTAGGAGACACAATTATGATTCTCTTTTATATACATATATAGCTCCTTATGTTCTTTTCATTGCTTTCAACAATACCCTGTTGAGCACTGTGGAGGTTCATCAAAAAATTCATTTTGTTTTCCCTAGTACAAAACTTAATGCAGCCAATTATCCTTAGGAAAGCCATATTCGTCGCAACTCGAGTGATTTGAACACTCCTTATTGGAATGTGTGCCTATATGTGGGCGCAAGTTAGGTATAACACTGAGGCAAAGGTTCTCTGGTTATATAACATCTGCATGTAGACAAAGTGAAAAGAGGACGGCAATTTAAATATTTGCTTACCAAACCAACTAAATATTTGCTAACCTAACTATTGGTGACTTATTTAGCAGCAATACACTGTAGGCTCATAAACACATTTGAAAATGTAGTACTATTGAAGAGTCATACTAAAATTACTAATGAGCCAATAGTTATTTTCATTCCCATTGACTTCCACTGTATTTTTTAATATATTATTATTATTATTATTGTTATTAATATTTTTTTTTGTGTGTGTACAATGGAAGTCACTGGGAACCAAATATAATAAAATTACCCACAACATGATTTTCTCGAGTTATCACATTAGGTCACATATACTCAGTATATTATGGAAAGTCCCAGCTGTAATTTTAAAGCTTTGACTCACTTCACGAGAAAATAGTTTGTACCCATTTCCAAGGATTTGCATTCACAGTCACCCCGTTATGCACCTCCCCATCAGGAGATCATTTCAATTAAAAAAAAATTTTTTTTTTTACTGTCATTAAATGTTGAATACTGAGACGGTTATTCAGTGAGATTTTTAAAGATGGTGGATGTTCAGTACAAATCCTAAAGCACAAGTCACGGCTAAAAGCTGCACTCTTTTAAATGAAAATGCAGTGTAACTGAAGGGAATCTTTTTTCTGAAAGGCTTCAGCTGACGTTTAATATGTTGCCTTGCTGTAGTCGTGATCAAAATTTCCACTACTCATTCTACACCTCTGGTTAACATGACTGCATCTTCACATGTCCATATGGAGTGATTGAATATGAAATATGATTATCAGTCATCAAAGACAACATTCTACCCTATGACCAATTGAAACTATGCTCTTGAAGGTCAAGTGTTATATACTGTACCATAATTAAATCTCGGAGCTGAAGCATTATCAGTTTATTGTCCTAGATCCCAGCTGCAGCAACACTCTGAATTTGAACAACGAGTCTGTGTTCTTCCCTTGACAGTCTTACGGACAAAATTGAATAAAAAGTTTCAGAATCTTTGTGTAAATATGTGTTTTTCCCAAACATCTATTTGACTTAACATCTTCACACTCCCCTCACCCTTTTTTCTACTGTTCTAACAGTTCTTATAATTTGTCTGCAGCCTGCTACAGACGTAATAGTAGGCTTGAAGGATTGAAATTGCAGTGTGATGTTCAATAACAAAAACACCTTTGAAGATCTATAAAATACATAAACGTATGAGTCTTGAGAGTGGAAAACCGAATAAGAGCCTTGTGCATCTCAGACTCATAGTTTTCTCAAGGTCACAAAAGTACATAAAGTCCAAGGTGATAATAAATTTGTTGATGCACCCTTCAACATCTGACCCGCCACAAT